TGTATGTATGTATGTATGTATGTATGTATGTATGTATGTATGTATGTTACATCTGCATAATCTGCAATAATATTAAATGTGTTTGCATAACATGATTTAGTGTGGCTGTGATTAAAAGTATGGGTGTAAAGAAAATATACATATCACAATTAACTGTGATAGCTCTGCATTATTGCTTTCATAACTGGGTATTGTGCACTTTGACTACTTTTGATGATTCAGCCTGCAGCTCTGACTGTGATCTGTGTAAGTTAGTTTGAACAATCTTCATTATTTTTTAAGGTTATGGATATTCTTCACGTGTTGTCCATTGACTGAGGCTCCTGTGTGTGAGCTGCCTGTGTCTGTGTCTGTTTTAGCTGTTCGGACTTTGAAAAGATGAGGAAATGCTGAACAAGAAGCTAGGATTACCTGGGTATCGGTGGGTCGAGTAGCAGCGTTACATTCAGTGTCGTCCATAACGGCACCATAAGAGCCGACAATACACTTCACAGCCCGCATCTGGTAGCCTGGCCCACAAGAGGTAGTGCACTGAGTTCAAAGTGAGACAAAAAAAACATCAGGGAGTGGTAGGGAAACATTAGTGAGAAAAAGACAGGAAAGCACGGCAAGCAAAAAACACATGGTTCATTTAAGGTGAAAAGAGTACCTCTAAAGGAAATAAATAAAACACTATGACAGCATTAGCAAGACTGTAGGTGCTGATAAAGTTCTCAAATATTTACAAAAAGAACAAATCATATACATTGCATGGGTTATTTTTCCACTGTAGCTAAGTCAAAGGCTCAAACCCAGCAATTGCTTCTGGCTCATTGCCTTCAGAGAAACAGGGTCAAACTTGTGTGGCGGCAGCTTCAGCTACCATTTGACCACGCTTCATTAACCTACTTCAAATACACCTTACCATGCACACATCCTCTGATGGGAGGCACAAAAATATTTCACATATTTGGGGTGTTAAGTTCTCTGCGCAAATACACAAACTGAAAATGTGCACAGACACAGTGTCCTGAATGCATCTTCTTTGAAAGCTGTCTGAAAAGACAACGAGGCTACCCACATCGCCCCTATCTGCTCTACTGTTCATTTAGCAGGATGTGATTTGTGTTTAAAGAGGAGGGAGGCCGGAGCTATTTTATGAGCTATGCTTATCTGTGTACTCCCTGCGGTTTACATCTGGGGAGAATTAATCAGAGAAATAGCAAATGTCATCCGCTGTGCTGATTCCCACCAAATACAGTTTTTTGTTAACAAAAAAGGCCTTGCTTGGAAAAAGTAACACTTAATTTTTTGTTTCACTGCACATCTGTAGGTACAAGCAATGAATATATTAAATTGTTAAACTCAGCATGTTAATAGTGTCTTTCGAGGGCAAAACAAGATTTGCAGCAGATGCATGTTGATGTTTCTGGGAGCCAAATGACCTAAAAGGACACTGTGTTTGAGTGCAGATGTATTTATTTCTTTTATGAAACTAAAAATGAAACATTCCAAACTCTGAGACTGTGTCTGTAACTTTAAGAATGAATCAGAATATATCTTTGATAAAGCGCAAATCCGTGTCAGTTTGTACTACCTTCTCTAAATGCTCACACACATATTAACCTACAATATCAGACAGCTAACGCTAATTTAGTGTATAATGTCTGATCCTTATGTCCTGACACAACAAAAAACAACAAATTTGTCATTCATACAGGAAAAAGATTAATACTGAGAGGCTCCTGTGTACTTGGCAGTTGAATCTCCTCTCTAAATGGGATGTTTCACCTTCTGTGAGGTTTCATCTGCTCCTCAAACCTCAGCAGCTCTAACCATCATTGACAAACTTCCAAAACTTTGACAACCTGTATCATGGGTGACTCACCTGTCCCCACGGTCCAACTTGCCAAGAGGCACACTCTTGTTGCTGGCACGTCTGCACCGACTCAGGTTTGGACGAACCACAAAAGTGATCATCGAGACGGTCCTCACCAAACTGGCACCACGTCTGCCGGTGCTTGTAACCTTTTCCGCATGTTACAAGGCACTGCAACATAAACATGTCATATCGTATTGCAATGGGTTTTAAAGAGAACAGCTCATAAACTTTGATTATAACGATTGCACATTTGGGGTTTAAGTTAATTTCCAGGGATCTTTGTTTGGGATGAAGTAAAGACAGATTTGTGGATTTAACAGCAAATCACTGCTGTAAGTGAGTGAGCAAACTCATGTGTATAGTACAGTGTAAGTGTTTTGGCAACACCACATGGGAGATCTAAAAAATTCCTGGAATGTAGCCCACCGTTTTGCAAGCTCCTTACTCTGCAATGTGTAAACGCTGCAGCACTATGAACAATCTCCAGTTTCCCAACACTCCTTTGTAATGGAGGGAGGGGAGTAACTCTCAGACTGAGACACTGAGACATGCCCAGTCAGCACTGAGATGTAAGATTTGGTACAGATCACTTGTAAATATAAATACTAAATATACAAAAGAGTCTCTTATATCATGCTACTGAGAACATATATTCACCCTAAATATATCTGGATATCTCCTGCACATAAACTGTAACTGCACAATAAGTTGTACATTTTAAATCTACTGATAATAAACTGTATAAATATTCATTGTATGCTATGCATAGGTATGTATATATATATATATATATATATATATTTATATGTGTGTGTGTTTGTACATATATATATGTATACACACATATATAGTTAGTTATAGTTACATAGTTACATAGTTTTGAACTGACCTCAGACCAGTCGCCAGTCTTCCATTGTGGACAGAGGAATTCATTGCAGGGTTGGACGGTCAGTTTGTCCCTTTGACTGCATTTGCTTTCGTCACTACCAGCATCAGGTGTCTTTCGACAAACGGCGCCCCGGCGGCGGGTGCCCCCACCACAGCTTTTGGAGCACTGCAGAGCATTCACAACTTGTCAGTATGTGTGTGAACAACTTTGGGATATGCTTACAAAAAATCCTTCAAAAATCAAAATCCTTCAAACAACAGCCGTACCTCTGACCAGGGTGAGTATTCCCAACCGCCTGGGTTACAGTCTCCATGGCAACTCTCCTTGTCATCGGGTTTACGTTGCCCACTACAGTAGCGGTCATCAACTTTCTGGGTCTTGTCCTCTGCGCGGCTGATCTTGGCACAATATATTTCCAGAGAACGATATCCAATACCACACTGGGCTGTGCACTCACTTTTACGAGCCACGTACCACCTGCGTCCAGAGAAATCCATATCAGTGGTTTAAAAATGATCGACCACAATGAGATGACTTGATCGTATTTCGGGAATGCATATTCATTTGATTGCAAAACACAGACCTGAGTTCGCATTCAGTGTTACAGGGCTCGGTGATGGCAGCAGGCCGAGCGTTACCATGACACCGCTGGTCCGACACCACCACCCGGTCCAGCTCTCTGCTGCAGACAATCTTTCGCTTGCGCTCTCCTGTGAAGACCCAAAAACGCCGGACTGAACACTCGAAAAAAATCCCAAAGCCATTTGTTAACATTCTCACGAAATTTTGCATTCATGACACAATCTTTTGAATGGAGCACAACTACTCAAGATACAATTTACTCTAATGCAACATTCAGTCAGAGATGGCTTGTTCTGCTCATGGTGGTTAGTGATGTTGGCTCACAGAGAGAAGGTTTGGTTGCCTTGAACTTTCTATGATGAATCAGTATGTTCTTTCTATGCCCGGACATACATATTAGGTTTATTGGTGATAGTACACTGACTGTGAGTGGGAGTGGCTGTAGCTATGTGTCCCCTGTGGACTGTGTGATCCTGTCCTTGGTGAGCCCTATCCTATCCCACCGTCAGCCACCACAGGGCCCTGCGAACCTGACCTTGATTAGGATGTAGATAATGTAGTAAATAATGGATACTCCCTAACTAAGTAGACATACAGATGGAAGTAAGGTCTCACAACTTTTGCCGGCAAGCTATTGACCCTTGTGTGGCTCCAGATCACTAAAGAGTGCCTCAAGTCACAAAGTTTTCCATCTGAGTGCTATAAGAGCTCAGTGTTTCACAGCTGAGGGCACTACATGCCAGTTCTTTATCCTGCTATGAACTGTGAAGTTCTTGTTTTTTTCTTGGAATTTACTGCTGCTTTCTCCAGCAGAGTACAAAAAACTGGCTTTGACTTTGGCAGAACAAAGTAAGTCATAATTCAAATCGGGTTTTCGAGTTTACCTGCAATCCACCTCTGCACGCCCACCTCTCACAAATTCAGTCATGCCAACTAAGAAAGTCTGCCACACATTACTCTGGGGCGGACCTCAACTCACAGTCAAGAGATCTATGCCGAGCATGCTGAGCAAGGCAGTCTTCTTTCTCGTATATCTGGGGTTTCGAGGTTCCCAGGTCTCCGCTTCTCCATTCCATCTTTACTCTCACCACAATGTTTGTCTTTGACCTTTCCTGACACCTACTGTGAGCCTGCCAACCACATGTGCCTCCCCCTCACCTTGGCACAGGCGGCTGCACTCCTGCCAGGGCCCATACGCATCCCAGAAGAACTGCTGAGGCTTATCCTCTATGGGGATGTTAAAAGAGTACCTGACATCTGGGTTGTAAAGGTTCCCCACAGACAGCACCTGAACATAACATGATGCACATTACAACACAGTGAGGTTACAGGTTTGAATATCGCGAACAAAACAAAAGGTAAAGGTGGAAATAGTTGAAGACCAAACATGGAGAAGAAGCAAAGTTTCTGCGTTCTAATCTAAATTCTCTCATTTATTAAACCACTACTGACTTGCCCCCTTTGCATGGGATACTCTACTGCAATATAAAGGAACGTTTACCTGAACAATGATCTCTTCTTCGATGCGGTCAGTGCAGTTGATCCTCTCAATGACATGGTCCGAGCCACTGTACTCAATGATGGCATTTCCCACTTTTATTTCCCTTTTAAACATGCTGACCACAAATTCTCCATTAAGCAGGAATTCTCCACGGCTATTTGATACGGCTACAGAGAGAGAAAAAATCATTTGAAATATATTTGATTATGAAAATCTGTTTGCAAAAAAGCCCCCAAAACATTATCTTAAGATTGCATGCAACATGGCAGCTTAGAGACATAGTTGCAAAGCTTTGCTTTGTTCATTAATATTTCCCATTCATGGGCATCCTGTTATGTCCGCCGACCAGTCCTGTGCACTTATTTGCTCTAACGCGATTATACAGCTAATTTCCTGCCTATCTCTTCCTCACAATTTCACGCATTACACTCTCTGTTTGAACAGTGGCATTCATTCCTCCAACAAGTAGTTGCTATAGAACTGTCACTACATACAAATGAAGCTCGCCCGTATAATAATAAGGGGGAAATCTCCCATTGCTTTCTAAACTTTTTATGATGGAATATAGCTCTGTATGTAGATTCTTTTTAAATACAAGTAAATAGATTAAACAAGCCAAAGAATAATGCCAAAATGAACAAATCTCCACATAAAAGTCTCACTCCAAAGATTGGTGACCAATTAAGATGTAGTCACATTTTATAAACGTGCAAAGGAGACATTGAGTGCCTGTGCTGAACAGGCTCATTAAAAGATCAACATGCACATAATATGGAATACTTAAGTAAATGGCTTCACAATATCAGCTGAAAATTGTGTTTCACCTCAACAAACAAGAAGAAAGAGCTCATGACAGCTCTGTGCTTCACAAAACATCATGAATGCAAATATGAAAACAGGGGGCAGCTGAAAATAAATCCCTTTGTGTCAGAACATATTTGAGTTTCTTTTAAGATGGATTCTTTTTTGGGGGATTCCGTAGGTTTAAAAATGTAACTCTGTGAGCTCTTAAGAATAGCAGAGCTCTTTGACATCAGAGTATCCTGTCTAAGCACATTTATCCAGCTTTATTACCATTATTTTCCACCCAACATCAAATTCAAATTGGACGCTGTTCAGAAATAGGAGGTTGAAACTGTGAATTAAAACCATCATTTCTGAACAAGAGGCCACAAAAACTTCAAACTCAAAGACGGACACATGGAGTGGCTTACTTTGAGACTGAAAACATTTGTGAACAGATATGTACAGATAGGAATGACTAGTTTAACGGTTAGTTAAACCCTGTGGTATGTAAGCTAAGGCATCCTACATAGATTTTAGCTTTAGATTTAGACGGCTGGTTATTGTGTCAACCGGTGAAAATACAACTTTTTTCCCATTGAAAAAAATCTTCCACTTCTTACCGAGGTAGTTGTCATCCTCCGGTTTCCCTGAGTAGCTGTGTTGACGCACATCTATATTTGTAGCCCCAGTGGGTATTCGCACTACTTCATTATAGCCTGTAAATGTCATGGATGTGTTTAGATTATTAGTTTGATAGATGCTGATATCAAATGAAATAACCTCTGCTATTGTTTTGAGCCAAGACAGGCCAAACACCGTATAAGAAGTGCAGCGAGAGCTGCTGCCATTTAAACATACTGAATGACGATGCTCACCATAGCGTACAGTGTTGAAAGTGCCAGCCACAGTTTTGCAGGAAGAGTTATCCCCCCCACACACGCCGCACTTGTCCCTCCTGGCTTTAGAGTTCAGTACATGATCACAGCCTGCTTGCTGCTCCACAGAGACACAGGAGGAAAAAAGGCAGGAGATGATTTCCAACAAACAGCCATCACTTCTTCATTTATCATACAACAGAAAAAAAGATCTACATCTGTATGGATCGACATGAAGGGTTTTTCACCCATCAAGTGTCCAGATGAAAAATCATCAATCAAACCACAGGTTTGAGAAAATCCCCTTTTGTTATGGTACATGATTGAAGGATGTAAAAATAAGTGAATCCATTGCACACGGGTTCAGCTGATGAACAACGATTAGAAAATGAGCTGAGGCTGTGCAGAGCGTAGAGTCTCACCCTGCACAGGCCCTGGACACAGATGTCGTTGGTATCGGGTCCACATGGCGTGCCATCGATGACCCTATCCCTGAGCTGGTAGTAGGCCGTGCTGCCTGCTACCCTGCAGAACAGCTTACACCTGTCCTTCATGAGAACTGACAGTGGAGGAAAACACAGTCAACTCCTAACACCAGTCGATGTTAGCACTAAGCTTGCATCATGTCTGTTTTTCCGAGTAGCTGCAAAAAGAACTCTCACTTCCGCTGTATTTGGGCACCCAGCGAACATTTGGAGGTAGACCGTTGATGTTGAAATGCCTGCCGTCAAATGCGGCGCATTGTTCCTCCCTGAAGTCCTTCTTCTGGTTGGAGCAAGGCTCAGAGTTACAAGAACGAAACTTCATCCGGCGACCAACACAATACATTCCTCCATTCCTGGGCCTGAGATTAACATGGAGTTAAAGAGGACAATTATTGGCCTAATTTAGTACAGTTTACTCAATGTATCAGTTAGCATTTTTTCTGTTCTGATAACATTAATCTCTCTGGCAGTTCTTCTCTTTGGTCTGAAAGTATTTCGTCGTATCCCATTTCCCATTCGTTCTCATTATGTCTAATTCTTTTATTTCTGTCCATAAATCCAGGATGAAAGACCAAAGTAAAGGAGACAGAGTGATGAAATACCCCTGTAGGATCCTCCATCAAAGAGGCTCATTTGATGAACACTTGCTATGAAAAGAATTCCCTTAAGGAGGTTTGATTTATGGAACATTGACTTCGGCGGCTAAGAGGGACAATGGCCACCTGGCATGCATGACTACAAAGACATGCACTTACATTGGTCGGTTGCATTCGCGCATGGCGATCTTTATTCCACCACCACATGTTCGCGAACAGCTACCAAAAGGACTCCACACTCCCCACGCTCCTTCCACCGGCGCTGTGTCATGCTCTTTGGGTATACACAGGCCGTGTTTGCAGTGCTGTAACAAAGGCGAAAAAAACAAGAAAGAAGAGATGATTGAGGTTTGTTTTAAATAATACCCGTGGATCATGAAGCACATGCATCTGCTCTGTGAGCTTTGATGCCTGTCTGGGATGAATTAGCCTCTCAGCCAGTGTTACCATTGAGGTGAGGTGTGGTTACAGCCCAACGGTGGTTTTTGAGTGGACCATCATCTTTGTGCTAGCATACATTCTGTCACTTCTCAATATGTCTGTGGGAGGTTTACTGATGATTTTGTCAGATGAAGATGTAGTTATAGAATCAGGGTTTTATTTTAACACTGCTACAGTCTGGAAACACTTTAAGCAACCACGAGCTGATGCAAAGTCTTAATAGGAGCATTTTCCCGTCTCCATTTCTGACACGTTTGGCCTTCTCATGAAATAAACTGAATGTTAGAGGCTTTAAAAGGAATTGGACTGTAATAAAATACACTTGTGCTTTACCCTGTCCAAAAATTATTTTCAGTCAGGAAATATTAGATCCCATTACATAGTTAGGGATGTAGTCATAGATTTGTTTGAAGCTTTATTTAGGGGTCAGGCAAACATGTTTACATGCATTTGAACATTTTGGTATGACTAATACAATATCTAATTCTTTTTTTTTAGACTCATGGTAACGTCCTTGGTGTAACAAATGGAAAAAACAGGCTAGGGACATAAAAAGTTAAGCAGACAACCACTTAATTTATCTAAACTCAAAATAAGAGGATAGTCTTACAGCTTTTAATAAACAACTTTCATCTTAAGAGAGTTATGTGTGGTGCAGTCTGCTATGAAATGGAATGAGAGGTTAGTTTAGACACAAAAATGCAGACACATGTGTGTCTGGGCACTTTTGCAGGTCAGCAGGACCATGAGGATTTCAGGTCCTCTCACGCTTATTTGGAAGATGAAAGCAATTAGTGATGATACAGAAACAATCAGTCACAAGCTCATGCCCCTTTTGTATGCCAGCCACATTTAAGTTTCCATGTGCCAAAAGCATGTTGATATGTACAGAAACGTCCTCCACTGTGTTATATTACACTTTATGTTATAATGCCTATGAGCACTTTTATGGCCATGAGTCACAGAAAAGTAGTAAAATCTGAACTAAAAAGGAAATGTGGTTAGGGATGTTGGATCACATAACGGATCTATATGAGTATTTGCCCATTGTGTAAATTATAAACTGTAAAGTTCCTTACCACACTTCATATGGTTTTCCCCTACACTGTAAACATTTATGACCCACTTCAATCATCCAAATCAATTGAAGTTTCTTCATTTTTTGCTACACCCATTTTTGTTAGTAACATTAGCATGCATCGCTCCTTCACGTTTTAAATGGGAGGCCGCCATGAACAGTCGGTTTTCCCTCTGCGTGACACTTACCTTTCCAGGGGAGCAATCGGTGCCGTCTGCCCATGGCATGTGCTGCGTCCTGCAGCCCCGCTGGGCCCCCTCCGGACTAGTGCACCACAACCTCCGACACTGAGTCTGTTCAACACATACAAGTACACAAATTCTGTATTCATGTTGAGGTTTGAAAAAAAGAGAGCACATGTTCTGCGTTCTGAAAAGCACAATCCATTTCAATCTGTCCCACACGATCAAAGAAGAGTAACCATCCTATATATGGCTTTTTCCAAGCTAGTGGTATGTGCAACCTCAGTCAGAGCAGAAAACAGTACCCTGATGGGTTGCACATACTTGCATATTCATAAAAGATGTATTAACAGCTAGCCTCAGAAACCCATATTTGCCCCCACAGCATTTTAAACCCTGATACTGGCTTCACTTACCATATAAGGGCACACCTGTGTCCCCGGCCCGAATATCAATTCACACTGTTTATTGACATTGTATATCCGCCCGGGCAGCTGCTGCGAGAGACCGTACGGCCCAGAAACGGGCTCGTCGAGCAAGCACTCACCATATCCTGTGCTATTAAGAAATAAAAATCAAATGACTTAAAGAAAAAAGAGAAAAACAAGAGACACAAACAGACAGAAAACACACTCAGTACAGCAGGAGTGGTCATGTTTCTGCACATGTATGTCTTCTGCTTCTGCCACGATATCTCAGGGATGCAGATAGAACTCTGTGTTGCTAGAGATATGGGAAGAGATTTCAGAAGCTATCAGATATACCTAGCCCCCCCCCTCCCCCCCATCTACTCTTTCCTACAATAGGAGCTGTCTGGTGGAGTTTCTCAGAACCTTAGGGAGACAGGAGACTAGAGGCTGCAGCAGCCCAGAGAAATCAGGACAGTTGATCTTCTTTTTATTACTTCTGTGTTGACTATTACAAGTACAAAAAGAAGATCCACACGTCATATAAACTGACTGCATGTGTGTGTATGTCTGTGTATTCATGAAAGCTTAATCTCTACGGCTCTAAAATAAATATATTCTTTAAATATAATTGAGCCAGATTTCTGAAGTTGATTTTCTCCTAGATTTTGATGTTTTCCCCAAGATGCATGTTTGTAACAGTAATAAAGGAAAGAGGACGACATACTCAAGAAACTCTGTGATGTATTTCCTGCTACACTTGGACCACATCCAAGGGTTTGTGTTGTAATTAAGCGTGGGAGCCATCACATGCTGTTGTATCTTTACTCCGTCCTCCTTACACTTGTTACTATCGTCATGAGGCATGTTGAAGCTAGCAGAGAGAACATATAAAAAAGAAACACACAAAAGTACAGAAAGTTGAGTTAGTTCATCTTTCTTTCTTTTTTTTTTAAACAACTTATCCGCTTTTCGACAGCATTTTTAGACCAAAACATTTTTTCCACATTTACTTAGTCATTGGTTTTGGTAAACTACTCTGCAGCATTTGCACGGTCTGCCTGGGGCAAACTGCGAAGAAACCAGAAAGATATTTAATTGTATAAAAGCTAGGGGATATTTCGACAGGAAAAAAATGTGCATTGAGAATAAAGTTCAAACAACGTCAACAAATACTAAATACTTCTTGTTGCTAAGCTGCCCACCTGACAGGGACAAAATAATTCTGCCATCAAGCATCCTGTCACAGGTTGAAGCGGATATTATATGGAATTCAATAATCCCACCTTTTGTTAAGTGGTAAGAAGGAGCGTTTGTTACAGTTGACGAAGGCTCTTAAGGTCCGTAACAGTCTCCACTGTAGGAGGCTAACACCCCAGCTCAGGAAACTCAGGACTGAACAATGCAGAATTTACAGAGGGGCAAAGGGGCCTCCAGATAGAGATTTTATTTAAAATCCTACAAGCTTTTTCCATCTCAAAAATGAAAAACTAAAATCCATTTTTGGAAATGAGTGCAGGATGTGCCACAAGAATTTCAGAACATTAAGCACGAAAAAGAAAGTGTTCAACAGAAGCTATAGCCTTCACATACTGAGAGAAAAGAGATGTTTGTGATTGGAAAGACGTCTGCTACACTTACACATGACCAAGTTCGTGGGCGATGGTGAATGCGGTGCTGAGCCCGTTGTCCTCGCTGATGCTGCAGCTTCGATATGGATCACAAACTGTCCCCAACTCTGCAAGGCCTGGGATTTAAGACAATCCTCAGTTTTACACTTTTTGCCTGCTTCTTTTACACCAACGATGAACTCATTAAAACAATCCACTGACCTAAGGTGTCACACTTATCCCTGGCTCTGCAGATGTCCTGCCTGTGGTGAAAGACACGGTTTCAGAGACAGTGGAGGGAAGAACATTTTCCTAACCTGAGGGCAACTGGGAGTTTCATCTGGATCACAGTTTAGCCTTTAATCAGTCTTTAATGGCTCTCTTTACATACTTTTAGTCCATTTTATTTGATATAGGCAATTTTCTGCTTAAAATAGTGCTGTAAATGTAACAAAAATGAAAGAATGACCGCATAACGTCCATGCACCTGGTGATAAGGATGGCAGTGTCGTGATGGGAGTGGTGGTTGTCATCCAGGATGTTCTGGCTCTGCTGCCAGATGCAGAAGTTCTTTAAAGTGGTCTGTGCGTTGAATGAAATGACTGGACCCTCCTGAAAAGCACGCCAATACAGACATAAAAAAGCATTATCGCATTCATTATATTTACTTATTTTTGCACAGTCATAGTAATGGAGATAGGAACAAAACTTGCAGTCTTACCAGCTCATTATTTATTATCACTAACTTAACAATTACAATGTTGATCAGGTTGCCAATGCTGGGATCTTTGTAGATAGAAGAGACCTGAAAAAACAAAAAGATTTAGTATGATGTTTTTTTTTTTTGTTTTTTTTTACTGAACTGAGTAAGCTGAGTTATGACAGAATATATTCAGTCTGCCTGCAGTTTCAGGAAAGTACTAAATAATTTGGTTGATTAGAGGATCAAGATGATAACAACTTGAGCCCCTAAGGAAACACCAGGCTTTGCCAAGAACAAAATATAGGTCATCCTAGTCTTTCCCAGAGTGGATGATATCTTTGAGACATGCCTGAACTTATTTTTTGACATTTATCAAAGCTGTCAGACAGCGTGTCCCTCAATATGTCCTGTCTCAGCCCTGGCCTTTTCAAATAGTTGTTTACGCCTGCCCTGGGCTGGCCCTTTTCTCTACCAAAACCCTCTTTCAAAGACTTGCTGACCGACCTGTAGCACAGAGGAACAAGTACACCCATGTGCACTGGCAAAGCTGTATGCTTCAATAAGTGCCTGAATAAAAATCATTTTCCAGCCCACCGCTTATACGAGCCCGACATCCAGAGCAGAACTTACTATAGACATTAAAGTGAGTATGTAGTGCTGTAGATTACTGCCGTGATGCTCCACCATTTTGCTGTCGGCCACCAGCATGACTTCAACAAAGCGCGGGTAGGACAGGAAGCGCTTTGATCTCCTGTGAGGTCCTGAGTCACCGCTGCTATCATTTGACGGTCTGGTGCTAGCGGAGCTGTTCTCTGATCTGAGCAGAGCCGTCTTTGACAGGCTGGTGCTCAGCGACTCCAGGTCGTGGAATATGTCGGCACTGACCAGAGGGGCCGCGTCGGAAACGGCGGTGACCTCGGCCGCCGGCCCTCTCTTCAGCTTGTGTCTCTTTTGTCTGTGTTTGTGTCCTAGAGCAAGAAGCCAGAAGGAATGGGGCAGAATAAATATACACAGATGCAGAGCTGACGTGAGGTACATTCAGAGAAAAAAAAAAAAGACAAGATATTAATCATTGTTGTGGAGGATGTGGTCACACTTGAGCTACATTTGTGGGTTTACTGCTTTAAAGATGGAGACTCATGCATGGAGATGTGGTGACTGTATCAAGAAGAATATGACTGAAATATGTTACTGCCTCTTCCTCTGTTATTGTGTGTTTATTGCTGCTCAAGGACTGCGTTGAGAGATGAATCCTGGCTGGAGTACTTTTTTTTCTCTCTCTCAGCTCAAACTGAGAGAAAGGAAGAAAAGAGGCCAAAGAGTTCATGTTAGGTAAGCCTGGCCTTCAGCCAGAGAAAATGGTACACAAATTGCTTTGTGCATACACAAATTAAGCAGCTCAACCACGGGGCAGCAAACCCTCTCAAAATCAATTTAAATCATGGCATAGTAACAAAGCTACTGCATGCCAGTCCTCTTTTTTTACAGCTATTTATACATCACAAATAGCTGCACTGGTCTACACCTTATTGGTTTATTTACCATTTAACATTGGATGCCCTATAAGTAGAAATTATTACTCACCTGCTCATAAATAAAAAAGCTTGACAATGCTTTAAGGTAGTAATTACATCTAAAATGATTTGTTAAGCTATTTTTCTTATATAAAAAAGGTATTTACTTGTTGGAACTAATTGAAACTATGAATGAGGCTGGTTTGAATTTCTATTTGAAGTGATAAAATAGGCTGCAATGTCAGCTTTGTTTTGGAAATGTTTCTGTTTTTGAATATGGATGTAATCAAATGATCTAACATTTGCATCTGGCGGGATGCATTGATACATGACTAACAGCAAAAGCATCCCTTCTTTTAAACATCTGTCTGTTACTTACTTGCAGAGCTGCCTTTAAACATTTTGGTCCTAAGCCTGATCAGTTGGCAGCATAATGTCATTTATATTTTGTTGTGTTTATCATGTTGTCTTCCCTATTACAGTAATGCCATGATAGCTTTCATTTTATAAATTAAAACACTGTTAAAAAAAAGGAACTTTCAACAGCTTATTTGTTGTGATTCATTTTCTGAAACCTAAACACAAGGCTCACATTACAGCCAAGAGGACAGCTCTTTGTGTCAATAGCAGCATTAAACTTCCTGTTTCTTGTTTCATTTTTAGATGGGTTAACACAGGTGAAATATTATTAAGTCAACCTGTTTATTGACAAAAGGGGAGAAAAGTATGAGTCTAAAAGAATTGCATCATAACTTTCCAAGGAATGAATCCTTTCTCAAATACAAGTGGCACTTTGTCAAACTCATGTTCCCTCAGGCTATGTTTTCACACATCCTCAGACTGTATTCTGCAAGCAAAAGAGAAAAATACACAAAGCAATATTTAAATATACAGTGAGACCAACCATCTGTGGTGTGATCCCCACTGGACTAGAGGAAAATATTTCCACATTTATTTTCTTAGTTTTGATTATTTGACTGTTTTTGGGTCGGCATCACTTGCTATTATACAGTTTATGCCACACGGCCGTCGCAGTGGGTTTGCCCAGTCTTCTTATCAAAGAGCCAGCGGAAGTGCAAGAGTCAACAGGAAGTTCAGCCAGTAAACTGAGATGGGACGATACAAGGGAGAACTTCCAAATGATTTTTCCTGTGTGAGAGCTACGGCGCTTGCAGCTGTGAGCACTGAAGTATGCACACTATGACATGATGAAGCCAAGATGTTGCACACCAATCTGCCCCTCTCACTCCGATATCAGCATCCTGATTGTAGTCAGCAAACAGGAAAATCTACTAATAAAGCGTGGCATGTGCAGTAATATTCTATACACAGGTAAGGAACAATCAAATTTGGTCATATTACTCGTAGAAATGCATTTTCTCTTCTCAGATTTTATCAAGTTTAGTTTTTTGAGTAGCACCAAACCATTACTGTAATAATTTGATGTACTAAGCTGTTGTTACGTAATATAGCTGACAGGGGAGAAGGTACGGGTGACTCAGTGATTACACCTGATTACATCCGTGGGAACCAGTGTAAAGGTTGCACGCACTTACAGACACATATGGCACATTTCTGTCCTCACAAACCGCATGTACTCCCAGGAAAATGTTTCCATGCACACGAAACGAACCGCACACACACTGCTTTTAAACACAACCGCTGGGAGGTCTCTGCTCAGAGGCAGCCGTGTCGGTGAGAGGGTGAGGGGTGACTGGAGCAGATATTTAGGTCAACTGACTAGAGAGAGCACTTCAGTGGCGAGGTCTGGAATAACACCGGTTGTAAAGCGTAGCAGTGTGCGTTTGTGTGACTGCCTGTGTGTATTTTTTTCTCCGCGAGCAGATGTGTAGAGATGTTAAGTTGCTAGAGCTGCGGGGGGCCTGTCAAAACTGCTCACTCATCATGGAATAAACCACACCTGAAGTGTCACAAGCCGAGCTCCTCTCAGTTGTCTGTTTCTTGGATGCACGCTTCCTGTATACAATATGAGGTTTTGTGTGTTCCTCTTCATAGTGTTGACCCCCATAGCTGTGTAGAGGCTCCACAAAATACTCCCCATCTGGAGACCTGAAAGTGCCGAGCTGAAAGCAGAAAAACACACAGCAGTTAAGCATCAATCAACCTAGGGTCTGTAAAGGTTTCCGCCTTAAAAAAAAAGATAAAAATCCACACGAGCATACAAGTTGCAAAATCCACCACTGCCATAGCACCTGAAGGCAATGCAAACGTTTAGACAAAGCAGCAGCGGAATTGAGCTTAGATACAAACCGTGAGGGCCAATAAGCAACACAGAGACACAACTTCAGAAAAGAGCAAATTTGCATGCATTTATGAATTATCCCTAAACAGGACGGAGGGAATCAAAGCATGTCTATCAGGAAAGCTCAGCAAATGTATGTTCTTGGCACGAGAGCTGAAAGGTCTGTTTAATTTATTTCACAAGGTACACTTAGTGGGACCAGTTAAGTTGGCAGTCTGTGATCAAGATAAGGCACGTGCCAAACTAAGCACAAGTGACGGGTTTCTCTTTGCTGTGGACAGCCATCTAAAGTTTGTACAGCTACATTATGACTGGAAAGTCATATATCTATAGTCCCTGATAACTACTTTGGACTAAAATTGCATTATCATTGCATTTTTGCTGAAAATGATGCCCACATAACACATAACTTCCTTCCTGCAAGAAGCCATTTCCAGCAGTGTGCAAAGGAATAGCTCTATTTGTGGCATCAAGCCATCGTAAACACCATTTTAGGATACACCAAACTCCAGTTCAACGAAAGGCAGCATTGTCTATTACAATATATTTATTATTATAATACACAATATATTGCGCACTAGAAAGCTTGAAGGTCATTACGATATGCTCTATAAATGTCAACTCAACTCCCCAAAGCTCCCTGCAGGGATCATTCAAAGCCCCTTTCTCTCCGTTTTGCCATCAGGGAATGATCTGACCTATTATCCACATCTGTCACTACACTGTGGTCTCTGTGAATAAACTCTGAGTGCACTTTTGATCCCCAACCAAAAGTCATGCCTCAGCAACCCTGAGAGTTTGGGCCAGTCCGTCATGACGTCAGCACGAGCCGTCCTCTGCTGTACAAACGTGCATAGAGACGTCACTGGGTACCAAGACACTGGGGAGGGATAAGGTAAACGCACACTGTCCAATAAACATGACATTTGAAAATGGGCTATTCTGAACGTACCTCTGCGTCCCCCAAATACTCTTACCACATGTCCCGATTGCAACGAATACGGCTTTTCTTTCTTAAAATGTCTCCTTATCACTTATTTATTCACATATCTCTAGCCAGAACATTTAGGAATAGGATTTATTTTATGTGTTTACAACTTTTCTTTATGCAACATGTTGACACTTTTTAACAAAAAAGAACAAAAATCTAATTTGCACTGTCAAAGGAACAAGCAGGTCGTGCGCAAATTAAAGCAAAAATGATTGTGGGAATCTTTAGCTTATATTTACGTCTTATATAAGCAGTAGCAGCTCATAAACGCTCTGGGTGGAAAGTGGAAACAGCCGCTTGGAACTTCACGGCTCAGACCAGCCAGTCCTGTCCGTGCGTAAAAACTCACCAGTCCGGAGCACAGGCTGATGACCGCGGCGTGCTGTGCGTGTGCGTTCACATGCCCTCTGTAGAAACAGTGCCTCAGCTCCGTGTCCTCTTCCTCCTCCACCTCCTCCTCCCCCTCCGCATCTGTCGAGAAATCCGTGGCGTTGCCTCCCCGGGGCACTCCGAGTACTGTCACCGTGTAGAGAGGCGCGATAAATCCCCAATCCACCGTCAGATTCAGGTGGTAGCTCTGTCCGAAAGCAGATATCCTGTAGTGGATGTTTGGCGAGGCCCAGTGGTCCGTGGCGTTCCCGGTGCCCTCGTCCAGACTTCGCCTTTTCCTCTTGAAGTGCACGCTGGTTGGGAACTTTTCCCCGGCTTCATTCACTCGCACCGGCGTTACAATCTCATAAGAGACGAGGTCCTCTCTCACTGGAATAAGGGCAGACACATGACAATGGACTTAACGACTAACCCGACAGTGTGTGTTTTAACGGTTAGATTTCCACGTAGGGATGTTTTTTAGTGAGTGTGTGTGTGTTGGCTGGGGGAAAAGGCAGCCAGTCAATGAAGTTTAGGAATCTAGAAAAGGCTGCAGGTCATGCGCCTGCCGCAATAGAAAACCCCATTCATACTCTGCCTACAGGGTGAGAAAATGTGTCCCACCGCTGAGCAAAATGCGCGCGTTGTCAGAGTGGCATACTTTACCTGTGCTGGAATTCAAAAGCAATCTCCCCGTGGATGCGACTACATTCAAGAAATCAGGGAACAGCAGGAATCCCAAGCCCCAGAAGAGCACATGCATGATTGTCCACGTTCAGAGGAGGGAGGCAGCGTGTATTCCTGTAGTAAATACTACTGTATTCCTGCGCTCGCTTTCGGGCTTTCCGCCTCCGGTCCGCCTGCCTCATCCAACGGTTTTTATCCTCGGCTCTCGATTAGATGGTCTCTGGCCGGAGAAGTGCACTGCTGGGACGTGAGCGCTTCGCGGATTCCCTGGCGAACATGCATACTGCAGAGGGGTGGGCTCCAACCGGCAACTGCGCTGGGCTCCGCAAGCCCGTGAACCAGCTCTCCACAGCTAGGGGCGGGATCAGCTAGGCAAGGTACTCTGTGAAGCCATTTCCGTTATATATCATAGTGACAAGTGTGGCCGAGTTGGTCCACTTTGCGGGATGTCATGGAAGCTGTTTTGTTAACAGTGCCAGTCCAGACTCAAGGACCAATGTCCATCTGCTGCCATGACGACTAACTACCCCCTTATGCCTGATTCAATAGTAAAATTTGAGGCTTGACATTGTGGAATAATTGAATTAGCTTTTGTTTTTAGAGGGGTGGGCCGTAGAGTGTGGATGGCAGGTCAGTGACCGTGATAGTGAGGTGGGGCCCATATAGGAAATGCCTGCCCTGGGGCCACAGCAGAGATAATCAGGGCACGGCTGTATACTTAGAAGTTCGTGGGATCACAGAGTGACAAAATCCAATCTGGCAAGCAGTATATACATATACAGTCGTGATTTGAGGTTTTAAGTAGATGTCGGAGGTGTTATTGTGTGAGAATAAAGGCAATGGTTTTAAGAGCTGTAGTCCCCCCAGCAGAACAATGCAGCAGGCTGTATGGAAGCCTTTGTAGATGCCTTTGTTATGTGCAGGATCAAAGAGTCGTCTATCCAGTGTGACGCTCGCTGTATTCATGCAACCCTGTGCGCACACACACCCACACACACACACTCGCTCACACGTTCACACACAGATCGAGAAAGAATCAAATATTGCCCAGCACACCTCCCGTAATGTATATCAAATAGGCATATCCTTAAATTCCCTACTGTCTGTGAAAATATAAGCTCATTAGAAAAATACTATTACGACATGAAACCGTGGAACATTTACCTTGATATAAAAAGTTGAACTCGTGTCTGAACTTGGGATGTCCTGATTCTTCCCACAGCACCTCTACATCTGTATTTCTGCTGCAAATACATAGATAAAAACAAAAAATGTAACTTTATACGTTGACCAAATGTTCACAGTCATTAGATTCATTTCACTGGTGCCATGTCCAAACATGAACCAATTGAGGCTTTATGAATACTGAAAGCAGTGCACGCAATCAACATGGATCTTCCTTACAAACATCAGCTCATGAATCGAGAATGATGCACATCTGGAGGCTCCTACTCAGGTAGACAAACAAGACAGACAGATCTGGTGCTTCTCTCTGAACAGTGATTAAAAATGCAGATGCACACAGTATTAATCATTTTAGAGACAACTTCATTTCCATAGATTCACACGAGCTTTTGTACTAATGTCTGAAGTTATTCCTAAACCAACACTTTACACCATACAGCTGCGGGCCACCCGTTTGCATTAATTAGTGTGTATTTTACAACATGATTCACCAGGTTCAGTGTAATCTACAGAGTCACTAAAATGTTGAAACCATCCTGTTCTTCCCATGTCCCTTGTGTTTTTTTTAACTAGAGGCTGGCTATCCCTCTTCTGGGTATACCTAAAAAAATAAACACACAAACCATTCACACATCCTCCTATTTCAGAAAAATCACTACAACAGGTGAACTGAACCACTTGGGGGTAATTACGCTTCGATTTCATGTACAAACAATGATGGAAATAGTTAATGTTTCAATATATTTTGTATGTTGTTTTTCTTCTTGATGAATTAACACAATCTGATTAGCTGCCCTGAACTGCCAGCATCTACGGTGAGCTTATTTTGACTCCATCTCCATTAATGGAGCTGTCAGTATGGCTGCACGAGCCTGTGGACGTCTGAGAGTGGGTTCTCAATGGGCTGCGGCCTTTGAGGTCATCAGCGTCATCCTTCATGAGTTGTAGGCAGGCAGTATCATTCAGGGCCACTAACAGCAGTGTAAACTTCACTTCCCCCTCAAGATCAGACAAGGCTGCTGGGGAGCGGAAAGCTTGAATGAAGTAGCAGAGCCTGGCCTGAGATTGTAAAGATATGCTGTATAATTGAGGTTTCAAAATCTCCCTCTACTCTGCCCTACTCACAGCCCCATGGACTTTTGTGGCCTGGTGAACTTTTCCTCATTACAAGGCCACATGTTTGTGCTGTGAATGGGGAAGTAAGTACGTTTTTTTATACTTTTCAATGCATTGAAGTTCATTAAAGTCAGTTTTGTTGTAGTGTTCTACAACGTATAGTTAAGAATTCAGAAATTATTAGGTAAAAATAAAACTAAGTGAAAAAAGGGGCAACAAAAAGTGCATTTTAACCAGTTACAGGCCCAACACTGAATATTATCTAGCTGCACCTGCAGCATCAAGAGGCTGAAGACTAATCAGCTGAAAGTCAATATGCAGAATTCTTGCAATGGCGCTGATTAAGTGCTATCATAAATTGGGACTCTTTTAATTTGTTGAAGGAGTTGTTTGAAGCTCTTGTTAGTAGTTACAGTCTTACCTGCAGCAGATAGCAGACAGACAGGCCACTTTGGACAATAAAGGACGAATTCCGACGGCAGAGCCACGTTAACTAACTCTGAGGAAAATAGAGGGTCAAAGAGAATGAACTTTTATCATTGAAAACAACTCAGACATGCTGATTTTACTTTGCAGACTTTTTTCCCGATGCAGTAATTCCTTAACAGCAGTGCAGTGTTATGCCACATCTGTTTCAGCAGTATGAGCAACCAAAGCTGAACAACCCTGGCATGCAAAGCTCATATACCTTGGAGCAGAATTTTTTCTTAAAGTATGTGTGTGGCTGACTTGTTACGATGCATCTTTTCTCCTGGCAGTGAAGGTTTCCCTCAGAATCCCGGCCGAACATGGAGGACTGCTCACAAACAGATGCAGATGAGCACACATGTTGAAGCTAAAGCTGTGTCCCATGCCCTTACTTTAGTTTTCAAAGCACACAGCAGGAGCTGAGGGATTTACTAGAAAAGGGGAGGATTGAGGGGTGGGGTTAGGCAATTCTGAAAATGGATTTTCTCGGATGGTCTGGGGTGAGTTTACGTTGGGTGAGACCCGAACAAAAGCAATGCTCGGTGGCTGAAGCACAATTAGCTTTCACAGTGCTCAAGATAGGGGCCTGGACTCTGCCCAAGTTGTACAGCAGCTGTCAGCAGGTCTCTCCAAAAATCCAAATGCTTCCCAGGTTCTCTGGCTCTCTGTGGAATGGCACAGATTGACTTCATGCCAGCGACTAAATTAATCTCTCCGCAGGCTGAGGACAGAAAGAGGCGAAGGAAGTCATCAGAGGTGTTGTACTGGCTTTTCCCGGGTACCGCTGTCACATGACACAAAGGAGAGCCAAACTTTGCGGCCCGGGGGACTTCCACAAAGCTTTTCTTTCTTCACAGTCTCTTGTATTTTCTTATGAGTCTCTATCCCTTTGCGTAACCGTTAAAGAAGGACGTGTATTCTCTCTTAAACTTAAACTTCTATTGGGAGAAGGCACTTGGTGTGGCTGTAGAACCATGGGTGCTGTTTGGGTGGGAGAAACCTCTGGTCTAACGGAGTGAAGCCCACCTGTTTCCACGGTTTAGAGACATTTTGGTGCAAGGAACCATGTTTTTTCAGGCTCCATGTGTGACATTCATGTGATTCTACCACGGAACAAATGCCCTCTCCTTTTAACTTGTTTGGTTCCCAAAAGCACAACATGATAATCTCAGTCCACCTCAGCTATAAGAGAAACTAGCAATAACAAACCAATAAAAAAGATAAAAGACAATGTAACACCCTGCAAACACCTGATTTATTGTGTGGACAAAGCACAGCTGGAGCGAAAAGCTGATTGAGGAACTTGAGGCTATATGGGGCGGAGTACAAGTTTTGGTTTCCTCTGCTGAGAACACATTATTTAAAATTCCTCATTGAATACGACAGGCATGCTCCTTGGGCTCTCTTTCACCATCTGTTTCATACAGAACCAAACAGACATGTTTAATAAGGGGTCGTATAGCCTTACACACATATGAGGAGCCACATGTTAATTCAAAGCACATGTGCCTTTTTCAAGTGTTTTCCTCCCAAAAAAATAAGAGGATAGATTAGTCATACATGTTAAAATCACAATGGATCTTCTTAAAGGACATGGACAAGCAGATAAGAAGAGGAAAAATTCCAATAATTCCAGTGATCAACAATTTTCTCTGTTAGTCATTAGAGCCCAGTGAGACACTTTAAGCTGAAAACTCCATGCACTGTACCACAGTTGAGGTGACTGGGATTTTTCTTTCTGCAGCCCACACATTACTGCACAGTAAGATCTGTTTCCCCTCTGCTTCATCTGCTCCTTTGTCAGATTGGATATAGTTTAGTGTTCTGGGTCAAGGATTCTATTTTGTGGGTGTCAGGGTTTGTAGAATAGGCTGGCTCGGGTCCTGCTGGCAGGGCCACTGTGTAAGTGGGTCATCTGGGTCCAAGAGGAGCCAGAGATCTCACTATAGCTGACAGGCACACAGTGGTGAGCACCAGAACGCAGCAGGATGTGACGGGAAATCTTTTACATGAGGGTCTGGACTAACAGAGAAGACATTTTAAGCACAAATACGAATATTACATCGAGTACTATATATACATTTTTAGGAAGCAGAATTTCTGATCAGTAGATATGACTGGGATTGCTGTAAATTAGAATATAAAAATAGCTTCGAATTGTCATTTGAAATATTTATATCAGTCTGCTTTACTGATTGAAGTTTTTTCAGTCTTTCAGAGGCCATTTAGGATTATCACTTAACAAAGAAATTATTCAAATCAGATTTCCTGACTCAGTAATCGCATTATGGATTTAACACAGCAGGGTGAATGGCACCAAGTAAAGACTATATCAGCCTTGACAGGCATACCCTCACACACTCATATGCATGCTTGTGCACCTTTCAACAACTAATAGGACATTGTAATAGCTTTGTATTCAATGCCGACAGCCTAACCCAAATTTACACTTTAACCTCCAACCTCCACCCAGCATCCAACACTTTGAGGATATATGCAGTGATAGATTTAGATTATTGTGATTAGGTGAAATGTATGTTTTGTTTGGGGGGGGGGG